GCAATAGGTCCCCTTTAATAATTACTCTTAGCAATTGTCTATAGTTAATAGTCAAATCAGACGTATAGATAGATGGATAGATAGATAGAAACTTTATTAATCTATAGTTGTACAGTATTGCATGTCATAAGTTTTGCCCTTAGTGTAGATTATTTCATTCTTATGTTTTTATTTTTCTGTAAATAAACATGCTTCGATTGCCTGTCACTTTTCTGCTGGTGCTCTTGAATTTCTCCACTTTAGCTGGAAGCAAACTAATCAGATGCTTGAAATCTAATACTGTCTGTAAACTATATAACGTGGGTTCCACTCTTTGAATTGAGCTACTGAAATAAAGTCATTTTACAATGATGCTCTCTCTCTTTTTTATCCAGTTGGACCCATATTTGGAAATTTTCCGATCAGTCAGTAAGTTGTTTCTCTGGGAGTCAGCAGCTCTGTTTATATTGTTATTTTACTCTTACAAACCCCAAGTGTGCAGCTCTCAACACTTGGAACATCAGCAGTTTGCACTCTTCCAGGCTCATACATTAAACATAGTTTGTTTTCTCACATTAGGATGTGTCACAGGAGCCACGGTTGCTAAATCCAGCTTCATTTAGTCTTTAGAAAAACACTGACTCCTCTTTTTTTAGTCTTTCTTTTACATGTTTGGGTTTTAATAGATGTTTTTTGTGTTTCATATGTAAAGGTAAAAACGATCATTCAAATTGTTCCTAGCAATGCTCACTTGCCCTGATACATTGCTACCAACATTCATGGCAGGAGCAAAAAAGCTGCAGGGGGACAGACCGGGCAGATAAAACTCGTAACACAATCTGTTTTCTGTTTCTCAAAAATATGTTTGTGCATCACAGTATATACATAAGCATGTCTTCTGAAAAGTAAAGTTAGACTTGAATATCACAGTTTCTAAATGCAAACTTTGTGCTTGAATGTTTTTTTTCTCCTCCAGATGCGCAATCACCTCATCCAAGAATGAACCATAATGTAATGCATGTTTCTTTGTATTATTTGCATTATTTCATTTTCAAGCAAAAAGAGACCGCATTGATAGTTTCTTTGGATTTTAAGCTGTTTTTTTTTATTTTTTTATCTTACCCTCTGTAAACATGGCTGTCTGTGACACCATATTTGTTTGCAATAGATTTGGTGTTTTGGAGCATTTCTGCAATAAGCATATTTTAAGTCACTTTTCTCTTCTCTGGGATTCGTATTTGCAGTGGCAACAAAATGGACAACCTGTGCCAGAGGATTGCACCTGCTAGTTATTACACAGTCTTAATGCTCTGCAGGTGTGTTTTAAGGAAATATGTGAAACGTTATCCTTCAAATATTGGAAAGGTACTGGTATATACTTAGGTCTTTAACACAAAAGGAGGAGATAAAACTGAAACTACTGATGCAAGTAAGAGAATTGCTGCTCTTTTCCTGTGTGGGTTCAATGTTAGTCGACTTTAATGTCTTCAAACCTATAAAGAGTGCCATGCAAACATGTTTATTTTTATTTTTGTCATTACAACCAAAAAACAATTTTGAGAGGGAGAGTCCCATTTGCATTTGCAGAAATCTCAATTGTTTTTCACACTACATCTGATTTCCGATTTTAATTGAAAAAAATATTTTTGCTTTCTTTTCAAAGAAGAAATTACAAATGACAGAAAAAAAATGTCAAAAAGTGTATTATATATATATAATACACTTCTGTGATGGAATCCGTAACCCCACAAATACCCTGTGAGGAATCAGAGCAGGATCCTGCTCATTCCCCCTTTGCCACAGCTTTGTCTTCACATTTTAATGGTGGCTACCTTCCAGGTGCAGAAATACTAGACACCCTTTAGCAGAGCAGATAAAGACTAATAGATCTGCAATCTACCCCAGTGATGCTGCCACAGCATGTTTTCTCTTCACTGAGCTACAGGAGACATTTAAGCCTGCTGTGATAAAATATGTGTAACTGCAGGCATGTCTGCAGTAGCTATGACGATGGTTTGGAGGATGGCCACTGTGATCCTTCCTTTATGCAACTCAGTAACTACTCAATGTGTTACTGCTGAAACTGACTTTGGATTCCTGCTCATCTTCTCTGTAGTTTCAAGAATTTTTTTATGTTAATTGGTTTTAATTGACACATAAGAAAACACATTTAAAGACTTTTAATCTGGTTTCATCACCACCTCGTTAGACATTCCTATTGATGCTGAGGAGTTATTTTTAGTCACACCATTTAGTTTGTTTCTTTAGATGTTTTTAGAACAACATCTATTGCCCAGTAAAATCTAATTAGTTTTAACTAGAGGGGAAACGATTTCCAGAACTATTGAGGTGACTAAAGATGTGACTTCAGATTTGATGTCGGCTTAGAATAGACTCTCCTGTTGTGCTTTGTTACTAAAACATTCACAGAGCTGGTAACAAAGCTGCGTCTCGGGTTTCTTTCCGTAAATTTAAGCTCACATTGAGTCACATCCCATACAGATTTGGGTTTAATGTAGGCCTGTACAATATTAGGAATAGGAAAGCGTGGAAAATATGGGAGAATTGGTAATATTCTGACAATTGTGACTTGTGATGAATAAACTAATAATTAAAATGGGCTACTATGTTTTTTCATTGGGCAGACCAACTGCTAATAAAGATAGAAAGATAGAAATTAGTAATTAATGTTGCTTCAGGTAAATGTCTGCTGTTTTGTCTCTGAAACAACTTGGGTTTAGTTTCTTAAAACCTCAACCACCTTAACACCTCCAATACATTTTGTGTTGCATAGACAAGATGAATGCTTATGTACAATAAGACCTATTGTAGCCCAGGCGGTTTTTTTTACGATATGTTTTGACTTGCGATTCATTAATTTATAAATAAAACTGGAAGTTTTTTTTCCCCTGAAATTGAAACTTCTTGGTTGGTCGAGAATAATTATCCAATTCTGCTCAAAGTATGAATAATTTTGGGCTTTCCTTTAAAGAAAACCCTTTGTTAAATGCCAGTAAGCATATAAATACACAGTGGAAGTGCAATAAGGTATTTTCTATTTCAAACACAAAATTTTGCAATAGTTTTGAAATTATGAAGAAATTGCTATTTTATTTAATCATCCTCACTAAATCAGGTTAATGATATACACATTTATTGTTGTAAATGCATAGCTGAATTAAACGTCGATCACTGGACGGTAAGAGTTGCAGAAAACACCAGTAGTCTTACTTAGACCTGCATATGTTGTGTGCTTGGGTTGGACAGGTCGGTTTTGTCCTCCAGCACACTCAAGCACTGGCATGTTTTATTTAAAAAGCTATTCCAGGTAAGTGCTCCCAGCACTAATTCCCTCTATCCAGCCCAAGAGCCCAGACTGAATCTGGAAACAAAAACATGTTTAAGTATGCTGCCTCCTCCACTTTCAGTCAGAAAGACACGAAATTCACCTGAATTTGAGAGCGCAGGAATGCAAATGTGAAACGTGACGAGGTGCAGCGGGCTGCGGATTTTCTAACTCGTCTGTCCATTTTAGCCTGCGTCATGAAGATGAGGAACCTAAAGTTTTCTTTTTTAGCTTTTAATGTTTATTTTCTTTTTTTATTAATAGCTAATACTGTGTTTGTATTATCGAGGAACATACTCAATAAAATGTGTAAGTCTCCCAAATTTATTAAAGCCTCTGCTAGTGAACTGTGAATTTAATTTTTATTTTCTGCTTACAAATGAATCTTTGCTTTGGCTTCTTAAATACCCACAGCAAATGTATCTTTTTTTATTTTTAAATATATGTTTGTATTTTAGCTCTTAAGTATTGATTAAAATGTTGTTGTTTTTTAATTAGCACAACTGTTCTTAGTCTTAGAAATGTCTTGAAACAAATTTTGTTTCATGTCAAATTACGTTCTTTCTGTTTTTGTTAAATTAATTTTTAGTTCTCCTTGAAAGCGCTGTGTTCATTTGTGTTTATCTCATAAGGCTTTCTAGGTTTTTCTTTTGTTGCAATGAGCTGCCAGTCTTTTTGGATTCGTCTCCAGCAACATTACATATACAAGTATGTTGCTGATATTTCTTTGTAGTGAAAGAATATTTAATGCTTCGTAAAAGTGGACGAAGAACATCTGTGGGCAGTAGTTTTGAAATCTGGCCACCGATTCTCTGTTGCATTTTGGTTGCGCTCTAACACATGGGAATGGTTTGATCCGACTCTGGCTGAATTAGACTGGAATCATCATCATCTGGTCACCTGTTGTCTCAAACAACGCAGTCAAAAGGGCAGCGAGAGAGCGTGTCTCTGTTTTGATATTTTCATTTTTGTGACTCGGAGGGGAGGGGAGTAAATGAAACCCTCATTAATTTGTATTCATAAATCAGGAACAACATGGCAGAGGCTAAATGCCAGCGTTGTGTGCCAGAAGGTTGCAGTGTGCTCTGGGCTAATTGGCCACATATTGTTTACACTGCAATAAAAAGTTTTGCCACAAACACAGAAATAGCTGCAGCAGTCAGTTTGCTGGGATCACACGGATCGTGCTGCCGGGTCAGTGGAGGCCTTTTCATTGTTGTGCTGTTACTATTCTACAAAAATTGTTTGCTGTAAATCACGACTTGAGCAGCTTTCAGAAGGAAAGGAAAGGCTGACGACATGGAAGTAAAGACATAAAAAAAAAAATAATCAAATCACAGTTGGATTTTTGTAACTAGCATCTTTCTTGATTTTTGAATACGCTACAAGATAAAAAGTACAAGTTCACATTAAATCAGATTTAGAGTGCTGTGTACTGGTTTTATTCTGTGAATATTTAAAGTTTGTGGTTGTAATATGAGAAAATCTTAACAAATTTGCATATAAGGCTTTTTGCAAAGCCTTATATGCAAAAAAAAATTTAATCTTTAAAAAATAATTCATAGATCTTATTCCTTCACTAACTATTCAATTGAATCGAGTGTTTACAAAAATCTGTTGCTTTGTCATTTTTGGCCAAATGACTTGTGTGTGTTTTGTTTACGTTTCTTTTCAGGAAAAATGTCTGACATCCGAGCCGTCAGGAAAATGCAACAGCTAAATAACTTGGCTGCGATGGTGACAGAGCTAGCCAGGCCGGGCGACACAATAGTGGATTTCTGCAGTGGAACGGTACTGATGCTCATCCATCAGCCTATTAAACCGTGCGCACATGATGCTCCATCTGACTACAGCCACATTAGACGCTGCTTCATTAGTGACCATTTGAAATGGAACAATCCCTCGCAATTACTCGTGCTTGTCATTTCCAGTCAGGTGGATGTTGTTGCTGGGTCACGTCAGTCACACAAGCTGAAAGCAGGCACACTGAGCAGCACCCTTGAAAGGATTTTTATAAAGACCAGGAGAGTTCATGTTTAGTTTATGGGGCCTTTCCATGTGCTTTGTGCTTATGTTGGATGTTTCTGTTTCCCTTATTTTGTTCTTTTACTTTCCCTCAGGGTCATGTGGGGATTGTTCTGGCTCACACACTTCCAGATTGCCAGGTAAAGTATCTTAATATGTGTGTGTGTGTGTGTGTGTGTGTGTGTGTGTGTGTGTGTGTGTGTGTGTGTGTGTTCAGAGAGTACAGCAATAAGCTGTTCTCCATTTTCTAGGTTAAATAAAACTAAATAAAAGAGGGATTCTATCCAGGATTTTTTTGTTCCTTGTGATACTAGTGATCTTTCTTGTAGACATTTTATCCCAATAGACGTTTCTCTGTTAGGAAATACTTTTTTTTTTTTACTCTCGAGTAATTTCTTAGATTGTTATTTCTTAGTTTTACTTGAGTAAAAATATGTTGAAGTCGTTTTACTCCTACTTGAATACAGTTTTTGGGTCAACCTATAATCATTATAGGTTGTGCTTTACTGGCAAAGATTAGTAGGAGCCCCTTAATAAAATCACAAATTGCGTATTGTCTGCAGAACATTTTCAGATGAGGTTAAATAATTATTTTGGATTAACAGACTGTAATACTACTTATCAAAAGTAAATTATTGTGTTATTATGTGTTTTAAAAGTGGCTTTCTAAGGAAATTCTCTGTTTTATCAAAACACAATATTATGGCTTTTTTCCTTTCTTCATATGAAACATCACAATCCTCTGATTGCATTACTGCTGATTTCAACTGTTTTAAAAAATGTTGCTGTTTGATATTTTCCTGTTTTCATTGCAGATCATCCTCATAGAGAACAAAGAGGAGTCTTTGGTTAGAGCCCAACGTCGCAGCACTGAGCTCGGCCTGAAAAACATTGGTTTCCTTCAGGCCAATTTGGATTACTTTACTGGACCGTTTCAGATTGGGGTGAGTGACACATGTAAAAAAAAAATAAAAAATACAAGTTTCGCAACGGTTCTGTTCTTTACTCCGTGTGATGCCCGTCAGATTCTCTGGACAAACTGATAATCACTTCAAATACAGTTAGAAAACAACAGAACAGAATTGAAACAAATTTTAAAGCAATTATAACAAAGAAATTATTTACCACTTAAAGCCAGAAAAGTGCTGTAAACATACAGAGCCCCTCAGGTAAAGCTGACATTGGCATATTTGTCAAAATGTTGGAATAAATTGGGAGAGTTGAATTCGACTTTGTCCTGGGGCGTGTTTGTGCTGTTTGATTGCCTTGGGGTTTTCAAACTAAAATCTTCAGGATTTGAAGAAATACCAACGGTGGTTCGGGGAGGGGAGTGCATTCTTGAACACCACTGTAACTACTGACTCATAACAGGCCTGCTATACTTGGTTAATACTGTTAATGTAGTTGCAAGAAAACATGTGTTTCTTTGCCATGACGGTGAAATATTTCCCTGCATTTAAATTCCACCGAAACAATAATTCATTTTGCATTGTGATGTAACAAATTACATGCTAACATAAAACATGCTGTACTTAAAATTACCTTTTTTTTATTTTCAAATGCAGATGATGCAATTTGTTATTTATATTATCTGTCTTACCAAGGGCGTAGGTTCGGTCTAAGTTTTGGTGGGGACCTTGGTGGGGGACCTTGGTGGGGACCTTGGTGGGGACCTTGACACCCCCCCGCCCCCCCGCGCACAGTGAAATGCCCAAGAGCACGGAACATTTTTGAGAAGGGGGGGGGGGAGGAACCACATTGGCTTAATAACCCCTCCCCCCAACCATAACCATATCATATATCTTGTGTATACAACCAGATACAGTCATACTCAGCAGATCAGTTCAAGAACACTTTACTTTTTCCTTTACAAAATTCAGCAAACGTTACAAGTAAGATCAAAAGAAATATCCTCTGGATACAGCAAACACAATTGCAGATAAGAAGAAATCAATAATAAAATAAAATAATATATTGCACTAACAAAAAAATAAACATGAATTCAGACATGAACAGAATTCAGCACATTCAGTGCTGACCTTACTAAACACCGGACTTTACAACAAATGCGTTGCGTGATAGATCTAACTTATGGGTCCACTCACTGTACTTACAGCCGACGTAGCGAAATAACTTCTAATGTGTCCTTTTCTTTTTTGGTGGCGACATGGTCTCGGAGACTCAGAAGGAGACGCGTGTGCCCAGCTAGCCGCCGCCTTTTGCAGCTAATCAAAGAACGTAGATCCACGTTCTTTGAGCCAATATGGCAAAAATTGGTCGGGACTTTTTCATATCCCGTGAATATTGGTCGGGACATGTCCCTACCGTCCCTACCCAAACCTACGCCCATGTGTCTTACACACTTTTGAGTCAACAATGAGGAGATTGATATTGTTCGCAACTTATATTGTTAATTTAATGTATGCGGCCATGAAATTTGTTTTTGTAATTATTGAGAAAGTGTCAGGTTTCTACAAGATTGTTCTTCTCCTTGCTTCCTTTTCACCCATGTAGAGTAAGTCTTATAAGAGAACGTATTTGTACATGAATAATGAAATTTGTTAAATCGAGTGAATAAACTTATTGACTGATAGATATGCTGATACCGTGTTCATGTATGAATGAAAGAGGCTTTATTCGGTTGTTTTTGTTTTAGCTGCAGACTTTTGTTCAATGTTCTTATGCAAGTGCACAGTACCTTGAAGGAGCCACTCATCACAGTAGGCTTAACTCCTTCATGCATTATGCATGGCGCCATTTTTAGTCACGTTCAGTTCGGAATGTTAATTATCCAAAAACCTTATTTTAGCATCTGCTCCTCCAGGCTTACATTTCACAGCTCAAGTGCTAAAGTTGTAGCAGGGTGAAGAAACCTTTTGGGCACACAAACACATACAGTGGAAGCCAGATATTTACATCTGCTGTACAAATAGTTACAGCAGATGTAACCTTTTTGGGTTTTTTTGGTTTTTTTCCACTGTCAGATATTAAATCAGATTAAATATTTCTTATTTTTGGTCAGTTAGGTTTATTTCTACATGCTAATTGAAAGAATGGGTCATAATTTAATCTATATATATGTTTTACTGTCTTTAATGTTAAAGGTTTTTGCATATTTAGAAGAAAATACAATAGAGATATCCTTTATTGTCCCACAGTGAGGAAATTCAGGTGTAACAGCAGCAAAGTGACAGGACATTGAGGCAAAATGTCAATTTAAGAAAGGTCAAATCATAAACATGCATCAAGCAGAAATAAAAACCCTGAGATTTCAGAAAATACTAAAAACAGGCTCAAAACTGACCAACTTCTAAAAAAGTGGGAAGCAGTGCCACATGGATGCTGATCGACAGCACTAAGATCGACCTCCTGGCTCTGATTGGTTGTTTCCAGTTAGCATACCGCAGCTTTAAAGGCAAATTAAAATGTCTGTGGGCCCCCTATGTTTAGGGTTGGGTTTAGAGGTAAAATGTGAATACAATTCTGGATAGGGTTAGGAAAGGACTAGTAATTGTTAGGGAAAATGTCTAGGTCATGCATTAATGCAGTTACTGAAATGAATGGAAGCCAATGCAAAGTTCTAAAAAGGGTAGAAATGCAAACATGTGCATGTGTGTGTACATGATCCATTGAGATGTTTCTCTTTATTTCTCTAATTTTGAGTATTAAGGAGCAGAAAGGTTGTGGAGCTCGAAGGTAATTAGGATTTTATTTCAGCTGGAGCTATTATTGACTGTGCTCAGATTTTCTGCTTGTATACAATTGATTCTGCCAGTAGATTTATGTTCGTGGGAACAAAATATGTGCTTTGTCAAATGTCTTGCGGCTTTATTGGTTTATAATGACAAGACTGATGGTGTTAGAACACAGCAAAAAAGAAAAGCTTTTCCAAACCTAAAAAAAAGTTTGAAATGCAATTTGGCAGAAAGTTGTTATGATGAAATATGAGATGATTGCAGGAATTTACTGTTTTTATGCATGGATGGATGCAGAGAGAGGAGGGATTATTTGAACAAAATAGACTCTTGTAGCCTTATTATTGCTATGATGTATCTATTTAGTGAACGCAGTGACACACTGGCAGTTTTTTTTTTTTTTTTTACTTGAGGAAAAATTGATTCATGAAGAATTAGCTTTACAAGTGCCCTCATGCTTAGGGCATACTAATTAATGTTTTCTACTTCCAGACTCTGCAGAGACGGCACTTAGCCATACTTGTTCATACATACGAACACAGCTGCAATAAATGATTTTAAATGAAACATAATCATTGTGCATATTCAATTAGTAAAACATAGACATGGACTGTGGAAAGGCTTCATTATTGCCAATTTAAAGAGATAAAGCATCCCTTAAAAATGATCAAGAAGAAATGTTTTTCACCTTAAATGCATAAATAATTATCAAAACGTGTTGCTCATGCACCTCTGTTTGACTAATGTGGTTTTGTGTCGATAAAGGCAAAGGTCAAAACATCGCATTAGAATTTAGTCCTGTATGACTGATCTACTTTAATTATCTACATAAAGCTGATGTTTGATGGGCTTTTTAGTGTCCTTTAGATGTGTTTGTTGTCACATTAAGCAGGTTTTAAGAGCCGCTTTTCTTGCGCCTGTTTGGCTTTTCTTTAGCAGTGTCTGTCCCTGGTGAGAAACATTTCCAAATCCGAGTCTCTATTTAGAGAATTCTTTTAAGTTTCTTTCTTTTAAGTCAATACACAACTTACTATCTTCTGTTTTAAGTATAAATACTTGTAGAACTTCTTTCATATTTAATTTTGTTCAACTTTAATGACTTTAATGTATTTGAGACTTTTATGACGTGAAGTAGTGTATAATTGTGAAATAAAAGGAAAAAAAAAGTTCAACATATCTTACAAAAAGAAACGTTTTGAAAGTGTGGCATGCATTTGTAGTGCTACATTGCAATCTTATCGTGTTTGTTCTTGTTTGTAATGGACATATTGTTTCTGTGGTTTTCTATTTTGAGTGAAATATACATTTTTGCATCTTAGAGCTCATGCTTCCACGAAGATTATGTGAAAACAATTGTGCATAGGCTCCAACTTTCATAAAGATTTGCAGAGCATTGCCAAATGTCTTCCTGTCTAGACATACCAGTGACAGAGAGTGGCTTTAGCGATGTCGCTCAGGCTGTCTGTATTTCCCCTTCCCCATGTGGAGGAGGAGCTCCGGCCAGCTGTTCTAATCCCACCCTGATCAGCTCCGAACCTCTGTTGTGTGGCTCTGCTGTCAAGATGTTTTCCATTCAGACTCTCAGACATGACAACTTCTTGGAAAACGGGAGCAGAACATAGACTTAGCAATCTCAGTGTGCAACTGAGAACCTTTGTGGATATTCTCAAATAGATAT